ACAAGGTGTGCGTCAGCCGGGAAACAAACACAGAGTCATCTCAGGGCGGACGCGAAGGGGGTCACTGGCAAATGTGTGGGTTCAATAGGGGATCTAAGGGGTCCCTAGGAGGTGTGTGGGTTCAATGGGGGATCTAAGGGGTCACTGGGAGGTGTGTGGGTTCAATGGGGGATCTAAGGGGTCACTGGGAGGTGTGTGGGTTCAATGGGGGATCTAAGGGGTCACTGGGAGGTGTGTGGGTTCAATGGGGGATCTAAGGGGTCACTGGGAGGTGTGTGGGTTCAATGGGGGATCTAAGGGGTCACTAGGAGGTGTGTGGGTTCAATGGGGGATCTAAGGGGTCACTGGGAGGTGTGTGGGTTCAATAGGGGATCTAAGGGGTTACTAGGAGGTGTGTGGGTTCAATAGGGGATCTTAGGTGTCACTAGGAGGTGTGTGTGGGTTCAATAGGGGATCTGAGGGGTCTCTAGGAGGTGTGTGGGTTCAATAGGGGATCTGAGGGGTCTCTAGGAGGTGTGTGGGTTCAATAGGGGATCTGAGGTGTCACTGGGAGGTGTGTGGGTTCAATGGGGGATCTAAGGGATCACTGTGTGGGTTCACCGGGGACCTAAGCGGTGTGCAAGCAGTCACCACCAGGAGCAAATCGGGTGATTGCAAGCTGCCCTGCCAAGTCGTGCCAGGGTTATATGGCCGCAACAGAGATTTACTGACCTTGACGACGCAGCTACAGCAGCAGCTGCTTCTGCTGCTGCTGAGCCAGATTGTAAGCGCCTGGTTGGTTTATTACTCACCTGAGGTGCCATAATCTCACTCGATGCGCTTAGGGCATTAACACCTGCATCGTAATAATCTGAGAGTGTGGCTTAATCTGGCTGTAGCCGTCCTCGGGCATGAACAATTAATCCTCAAAAAAATCTGAAAGGTGATCTCGTTAGGTTCTGTGACCCGTTGGGCGTTGACGTTGCAACCCGAGGGATCTGAAAGGTCCCTTCACTCGGCCTTCGATCTGTCAGAAACTTCTCACAGGGCACAACCGCGACGATTTAAATATCGCCATTCATCATCATCGTCATCGCCATTCATCATCATCGTCGTGGGCGAGTACATTCCGCGCGCCGCGGTGGCTAGGAGATGTTAACTACCTCGCCTGGTGTACAGGAGCTCGTGGGTTCGATTCCGACCCTGACGCCTGCTGCTGCTGCTGTATATTTGGAGTCTGAGTGTCTCTCTCTCTCCCCGTGGTCGCGTGGATTTGTCTCCGCGTCCTCCGGGTTTCCCCTCCACGTGTAGAATCGACATCGCCACGCGTTCAGAGTGTTTGGCTGCTGCCATACATTTCCACGTGATGAGCCACTTCGTGGGGCTGTCATTCGTGGACAGGTGACTTCTGAAAAGAGCTACACAGCTCAGTGGGCCTTAGCTGGTAGAATCAAACACATTGTTTAGTTTTAGTTTATTTCAACTTTGTGACACCGCGCGTCTAATTCTAGGAGCACCGGGGAAGGGCGATGCCCAATTGTGTCGCGCGCGTGATAATTGACTCCGACGCTGCAGCTGTTCACAGATACGTCCTGTGGGGCCCAGGTCAGGAGGTGGGTGCCCTGCCTCTGACTTAAAGGTGACGCGGGTGATTGCCTTGTGTGTGGGGTGGGTGCAGCTGGTGTGTGGTGTGTGTAGTTAGTGTGATGTGTGTGTGTGTAGGTCGTGTGATGTGTGTGTGTGTAGGTGATGTGTGTGTGTAGGTAATGTGTGGTGTGTGTGTGGAGGTGATGTGTGGTGTGTGTGTGGAGGTGATGTGTGTGTGTGGAGGTGATGTGTGTGTGTGGAGGTGATGTGTGTGTGTGGAGGTGATGTGTGTGTGTGTGGAGGTGATGTGTGTGTGTGTGTAGGTGATGTGTGGTGTGTCGGTAGTGTGATGTGTGTGTGTAGGTAGTGTGGTGTATGTGTGTAGGTAGTGTGATGTGTGTGTGTGTAAGTGATGTGTGTATGTAGGTAATGTGTGGTGTGTGTGTAGGTAGTGTGTGGTGTGTGTAGGTCGTGTGATGTGTGTGTGTGTAGTGTGTGGTGTGTGTGTGTAGGTGATGTGTGTGGTGTGTGTGTAGGTAGTGTGGTGTATGTGTGTAGGTAGTGTGATGTGTGTGTGTGTAAGTGATGTGTGTATGTAGGTAATGTGTGGTGTGTGTGTAGGTAGTATGTGGTGTGTGTAGGTCGTGTGATGTGTGTGGAGGTGATGTGTGTGTGTGTAGTGTGTGGTGTGTGTGTGTAGGTGATGTGTGTGGTGTGTGTAGGTCGTGTGATGTGTGTGTGTCGGTGATGCGTGGTGTGTGTAGGTGGTGTGTGTAGTAGGAGTGTGTAATTAGTGTGTGGCGTGTGGGGGAGCGGTGGTGCAGCTGTTAGCGCCCTGCGCTACGAACCCGGCCACCCGAGTTTGATTCCCGCTCACGGTCAACACCAGTGACCATTATCTGAACTGATCCTGGGCCTCCCCTAGGTAGGCTCGGCCTCAAATGAGTACCTACGATGTGTAAAAACATCGCCACTAGGGAGACAAAGGCGGTCGGGCGTGGTGCTGGCCACCCACCCCCTCGTGTGCCGTGCCGGCCTTCATAGGTGCTACTCGCTAACAGCACTTACCCCTACAGTCTGTTACAGGCTATACGGAGGGTCTTTGCAGGTGGTGTGGCATGTGTCTGTGTACGTGATGGGTGTGTGTAGGTGATGTGCGTGTGGGTGACGTGCGTGTGTGTGTATATATGACGTGTGTGGGCGGTGTGTGTGTAGGGAATGTATGTGGAGGTGATGTGTGTTGCAGGTAACGTGTGTGTATGTGCAGGTGCTGTGTGTATGTGTGTGTGTATGTGTGTGTATGTGTGTGTGTATTGGTGGGGAGCGGTAGTGCAGCGGTTAGCGCGCTGCGCTACGAATCCGGCGACCCGAGTTCCATTCCAGGCTCACAGCCAACACCGGTGACCATTATCTGAACCGGTCCCTGGCGCTCCCCTAGGTCGACTCAGCCTCAGATCAGTGCCTGGTTCGGTGTGTAGTAAACATCGTCGAGACAAAGGCGGCCGGGCGTGATTCTGGCCACATCACCCCCTCGCTAACAGCACTTGCCCCAACAGCGCGTGTGGCCTATACGGGGGACCTTTGTCTTTGACTCTGTGCGAGTGGAATGCGGGGCGCGTGAAGGCAAAAACCCGTCACCTCTTCTTCATCCGTCACCCCCCCCCCCCAAGGCACGCGTACACCATCACCACCACAACCACGCGCGCTGGGGGCTGTGGTGGTGGTGGTGGCGGGATAGTGGTGCTGTTTCGTGACACGAGCCCCATTGTCTGTGTGTGTGTCTTTGTGTGTCTGTGTGTGTGTCTTTGTGTATGTGTGCCTGTGTGTGTGTGTGTGCCTGTGTGTTTGTGTGTCTTTGTCTGTGTGTCTTTGTCTGTCTGTGTGTGTCTTTGTGTGTGCCTGTGTGTTTGTGTGTCTTTGTCTGTGTGTCTTTGTCTGTCTGTGTGTCTTTGTGTGTGTCTTTGTGTGTGTCTTTGTGTGTGTGTCTTTGTGTGTTTGTGTGTGTGTCTCTTTGTGTGTGTGTATGTGTGTGTGTCTCTTTGTCTGTGTGTCTTTGTGTGTGTCTTTGTGTGTGTCTGTGTGTTTGTTTGTCTGTGTGTCTTGTGTGTGTGTCTTGTGTGTGTGTCTGTGTGTGTGTCTTTGTGTGTGTGTCTTTGTGTGTGTCTTGTGTGTGTGTGTCTGTGTGTGTGTCTTTGTGTGTGTGTCTGTGTGTGTGTCTGTGTCTCTGTGTGTGTGTCTGTGTGTGTGTGTCTGTGTGTGTGTCTGTGTGTGTGTCTCTGTGTGTGTGTCTGTGTCTCTGTGTGTGTGTCTCTGTGTGTGTGTCTGTGTGTGTGTCTCTGTGTGTGTGTGTCGTGGTGACGTCACCGCCACTTAGTGGCGAATGGCGGTTGTTGTTGTGTGTGTGTGTCTCTGTGCGTGTGGGGAGCGGCAGTGTGCTGGTTGAGCACGCTGCACGACCCGAGTTCGACTCCCGCTCACGGCCAACAACCAATTATGGGCCTCCTAGGTCGACTCAGCCACAAAATGAGTACCTGGTGCGATGTGTAAAAACATCGCCACTGGAGAGACAAAGGCAGTCGGGCGTGGTGTTGGCCACCCACCCCTCGTGTGCGTACCAGCCTTTATAGGTGCTCGCTAACAGCACTTGCCCCTACAGTCTGTTCAGGTTACACGGGGGATCTTTATCTTTGGTGATGCTGGTGGTGGTGGTGATGATGATGATGATGGTGGTGATGGTGGTGATGATGATGATGGTGGTGTTGGTGGTGGTGATGGTGGTGGTGATGGTGGTGATGATTGTGGTGGTGATTGTGGTGGTGATGGTGGTGGTGGTGTTGGTGGTGGTTGTTGGTGGTGTTGGTGGTGGTGGTGTTGTTGGTGATGTTGCCTGCCGCTTGCGTTGCCCGTGGTGAAAGAAGCACAAATAACAACAAAGACAAAGATCCCCCGTGTAGCCTCAACACACTGTTGGGGCAAGTGCTGTTAGTAGCGAGTAGCAGCACACGAGGGGGTGGGTGGCCAGCACAACGCCCGGCCGCCTTTGTCTCCCTAGTTGCGATGTTTTTGACACACAGCACCAGGTACTCGTTTGAAGCCGAGTCGACCTAGGGGAGGCCCAGAACAGGTTCAGAGAATCGTCACCTGTGTCGGCCGTGAGCGGGAATCGAACTCGGGTCGCCGGGTTCGGAGCGCAGCGGCGCGCTAACCGCTGCACCACCGCTCCCCGTAACAACACCAAGAGCAGCAGCCGGAGCACCACGACTCACGGAGGAGGTTCCGTGCCACGAGCCCCGCGCGTTGGCTGAAAAGAGGAAAACTAAATCTGGGTGCTTGTGAAGAAGGACCGTTGCCCGAAACGTCGCCAATCATCATTTGTTACTCTTTTACGGCCCCACGGTGGGAATAACGAGCAACTAACGTAGGTGACACGTTCGTCATCTTTTATAACTTTTATTTTACATCATGGGACCTCCTTTGCCAGTACCAACAAATGATAATAAAATGAAGATATAATAAAAGGGTTTTCCCATTTTTCTTGCAACAAAAAGAAAGCTCTCTCTGGTGTGGACCAATCCAGTTTCAAGGACAATGTATTTATTATCAGAGTATGTTTTTAGTTTGCATTCTGACCACAAGCGTTGTGGTTAATGCAGATTCCTTGTAAATGGTTTCAGTTTGGTGTTTTAATATCTTAACACTTGTTTTGTCCCCAGAAAAAAGGGGAAAAACCTGTTATCAACTTTTAATTCATTCACCATTATCATCATTATTGTATTCCATTGAGTCTTTTATACCCGGGGGAAGCCTCACCGAGTCTCAGCGCTCTTTTCACGAGAGGCTCCTAGGTCGACTCAGCCTCAAATGAGTACCTGGTGCGGCGCAGTAAATATATAGCCACTAAGGGAGACAAAGGCGGCCGGGCGTGGCGCTGGCCACCCACCCCCTCGTGTGCCACGGTGCCGGCCTTCATAGGTGCTGCTCGCTCACAGCACTTGCCCCGACAGTCTGTGACAGGCTACACGGGGGATCTTTGTCTTAATCGCAATTGAGTAATTCTGCAGGTAATGTGTCAGCATTGGCCAATTCCGCTGACATTGTGAGCTTTTTTTAGCTTAGCCATGGGACGAAACCGGGTGAACCCGGAGCAAGCCCATGCAGAACGAGGCGAGAGCCTACAAGCCTCAATACGATGTCGAAGAACGCTTATTATAGCCCGCTTGTGTCGTCCGTCAGTCGCACTCCCTGCCCATGGAGTTGACCAAACATCCCAATGTAGGACTGCAGAGCTTGGGCAACTGATACAGAGACTCCGCCGTGGCATTGGTGAGGGAGGGCGCAGTTTGCATGAACGGCGATGCAACATAAACAACAACATAAACAACAACATAAACAACAACATAAACAACAACAAACAACAACATAAACAACAACAACATCGTCGTCGTTATATCGCTCTGCCTTGTTCGTTCATTTTAAGCGGAAGGTCCATACGCTAGCTTACCATTTACATACAGCACTCATATAAATCATACAGTTAAACATAAACCTGTAATTCCTACATTTTGACTTAAAACTTTCGTGACAGCAGGAATTCGTATTCTTGGTTCTTTCAGGTAAAATCACGTAGACAGAAAATAAAATAATATAATTATTTTATAATAATTATTTTCGAACCAAAAATCTGTAATTCCTAATTTACTTGCGTCTTATCACGGGACGCGGGTGTGTGGACTTTTTTCTAAAATGAAATTCGGTCAACTAATAAGTAAAGTTCTCGGCATCCAGGTCTTACATCCAGCCGGGTCGACGCGGGAGCTCTTTCCGCACCCGGCACACCACATCCAGCCTCTGCCTCTCTCCCTCTCTCTCTCGCTACGGGCTGCGGCTGCCCTACCAGTCACGTGTCACCAACTCCGGTCGCCAGGCGGTGACCCCGGGGGGGGAAACAAACAAACTTCTAAGCGAGTAACAAATCTCTGTCCACAGCCACAGACGCAGTTCCGGCCGCCCTCGCCGCTCAGCGCCCTGGCCGCACCCGGCCCCTAACCCAAGGCCGGGCCTCCATGGGCCACATTCGTATGAAGTTCCAAGAAGGCCGGTAGTAGTCCAGTCGGCGCCGGTGCTTCCAGCGCACACGGAACGGAGAGTTCACCGCGGCGGCGGCGGCCTCGGGCGTGGTGGTGGCGACCGCCCCTAAATCCAGCCGGGGTGTCCGCGAGCGGGCCCCTGGCCCCCGCGCCGTCCGTGCGCGCGGTACGCCAACCTCCGGGCGCTCCACTCTCCGAGCAGCGGCGGTGGCGGCGACGTCGGTTGCTCGTTGGCGATGGAATCGGCGGAATGGCGCCGTCGTAGCGGGCACCCCCCCCCCCCCCCACACTCTGACCGAGCGGCGGCGGGTGAGGAGCGCGGAGCCAACGCGACTCCGGTGGCTCACGGCGCCGTCCGGTTCGCAGCTCGGCGGTCGCCGGGGTTACGTGGGCGCCCTCGCCCGTCCCACTCGTCCCGCTCGTCCCGCTCGACCCGCTCGACCTCCTCCGCGTCCCTTGCCATGGACGCCGCTCTCACGTCCGCACCAGCTTGTCCCGCACGGCCAGTGGTGGAAGCTCCACGTCGCAGTGGTGGTTGGGGTTGGGAGCTCCGTGGGGTAGCCACCGGTGACTTGGCGCTCTCGTTCTCGCCGGGATTGGACCTCAGGCCCCGTCAGAGCGTGCAGGCCGAGGATTTTAAGAAGCTGAGCGGAGAAGAGAGAGAGCGGCCCGTGGCGGAGCAAGAAGACGAAGAGCAGCAGGGAGGAGGAGGAAGAAGAGAGGGAGGGGAAGAGGGAAGAGGGAGGAGGGGCGTGGGCAGGGAGCGAGGGCTGCTGAAGGTGGAGAGCGAGCGGAGGGAGCGATGGGAGGGAGTGGAGGGAGTGGAGCGAGTGAGTGGAAGAAGGGAGCGAGAGGAGGGAGTGAGTGGTGGGAGTGAGTGGTGGGAATGAGTGGTGGGAGTGAGTGGAGGGAGCGATGGGAGGGAGTGAGTGGAGTGAGTGAGTGGAGGAGTGAGTGGAGTGAGTGGAGGAGTGAGTGGAGGAGTGAGTGGAGTGAGTGAGTGGAGGGAGCGATGGGAGGGAACGAGTGGAGGGAGCGATGGGAGGGAGCAACGGGAGTGAGTGGAGGGAGTGAGTGAGTGGAGTGAGTGGAAGGAGAGAGCGAGTGGACGGAGAGAGCGAGTGGAGGGAGCGAGTGAGTGAGTGAGTGAGTGGAGCGAGTGAGTGGTGGGAGTGAGTGGTGGGAGCGATGGGAAGGAGCGAGTGGAGGGAGCGGTGGGAGTGAGTGGAAGGAGTGAGTGGAGAGAGCGAGTGAGTGGAGGGAGCGAGTGGAAGGAGAGAGCGAGTGGAGGGAGCGAGTGAGTGAGTGAGTGAGTGGAGCGAGTGAGTGGAGCGAGTGAGTGGTGGGAGTGAGTGGTGGGAGCGATGGGAAGGAGTGAGTGGAAAGAGCGAGTGAGTGGAGGGAGCGGTGGGAGTGAGTGGAAGGAGTGAGTGGAGGGAGCGAGTGGAAGGAGAGAGCGAGTGGAGAGAGCGAGTGGAGAGAGCGAGTGGAGAGAGCGAGTGGAGAGAGCGAGTGGAGAGAGCGAGTGGAGAGAGCGAGTGGAGGGAGCGAGTAAAGCAGTGTTGAGCGAGGCTGGGCGAGTGGCGCCGCTGCCCTGGGGGTCACTTGAGTTGGTGCCACATGGCGATGACCTTGTCAGGGTTCGTCAGCGTCTGCCTCCAGTGCTCCTGCGCCGAGCCCTCACCCTCCCAGCCCAGCATGACCTGCGCACAGGTCAACCGGTCAACGAGTCGGTCAATCGGTCAAGCAAGCGATCGATCATCCAACCGATGGAGTAGTTAACACGTTCATGAGTCAATGTTTCATTGGTTCAAGGCGAGCCCCCACCGCTGATGAGACACTGCATGTTGAAACCAGTCCAGAGTTTCGCTTGTGTTGAATCAATACTGCTGGAATGGTGCACTCCCACTGTGTGTGTGCGGCTGGTGGGATGTGTACGGAATGCTTTTGTTTTGTATGTGGAGCTGCTTTTTTTAATTGTGTTACCTATAATTCTCCACTATGACGCAAATAATTTTAGTGTTGAGTTAATTAGTCAAGGAATTGGTCAGCCGGTCGTTTAATCGGTCGATAAATCAATTTAGTCAGTTAACCAGTGAGTCAAGCGATAATTCCGCTTGTCAACAGTAAATTAGTGAACCGATAAACCGGTCATCCCTTAACCAGGAAGCCAAAAGCCTTCACACCTCTCTGCACGGCTGCCGTCAGTGGTGGCAGAACAATAGTAACAGAGAGCTCTGCTGCTTGGCATGGGGGAGAGCGGCCGGTCTTGCCCAGTCAAGCAGATTTCCCCGTTCGCACAAAAGAGCCGCTAAAGAAAACAAACCCCCCGCTAAAGAAACCCAACGTGGAGCACGGCGAGAGGGGCGTCACGCGTGGCCGAGCGTCGCAACGCGCGAGAGAGACACCGACACGGCGGTGGCGGTGTTCGCGACCTCGGATATTCACCAACACGAACGCAACACGCCGGATCATGACCCCCCGCCCGCCCACCCTGCCCCGCTCCCCCACAAGCCCGCTCCTCCTCCTGCTGCTGCTGCTGCTCTCCCACAACCATCAGCCCCCCGTCGGCGGCGCGGCTATCGAGTGGTGCGCAGGCGGTGCAACTGCACCCGGCTCCCACGGTGCAGCAGGAGGAGGGGTCCAGGCCTCTGCTCCCCCTTGGTGCTGTCCTGCGTGTTGACGTGGAGCCTCGACAACCCCTGGACTCGACGCCGAGGTGGCGGTCGGTGAGCCGGAAGATCGCGTCGGCGTTAGCCGAGTGGGGGGATCGTGGCTGCCGTGACGATGCCTCCTCCTGCCTACACTACTCCGCGTGTCTGTGAGTCGGGCACCGAGTCCCCGTTCTACGTTCCACGCTTCTGTCCCAGGCGGTGACCGCAGCCGCCGCACACCGGCCGGGTCATTTACAACTCGAGGTTCACACACTTCTAGATAATAATAATAATTATTATTAGTAAAGTATTGGCCGTGGGGAATATCTGACCATACTTCACCGCGCCGGTCAATGCACGCCGGTGGTGACAGGGTGCGGTCACTCGCACGTGCACCACCCCCCAGTTCATACATCACCGTGCGACTGTGAGCGATGACCTCGCGTGCGCACGCACACACGGGCACACCCCCCCCACACGCACGTGCGTGTGGGGGGGCGGTGGCGGCCGCGTTACCAGCAGCATGAGAAAGGTCACGACAACAGACACCGCGTCCTAACCGATACCTGCAATGCATTCCGTTGCTCGCATGTCACCCTGGGTGAGATTCTCCGAGGGCATTTTCAACTGAGGGCAGCGGGGGGCGGGGGGGGGAGTGGGGGGGACGCCACCGATTCTCGACGTCAACTCCCGCGGTCTCCCACGGCCGGGGTTTCGTGACACTTCGCCGAATCACCGGGGCGGTAAATGGGGACAAGCCCTGGGGGCGTGGTGACGCTGCGGCCGTGGCACAGCGCGCTGTGGGGTTGCTGGTGAGGAGGTGGAGGGGTGAGTGGGGGCGGGGGGGTGAGTGGGGGTGGGGGGAGGGGTGCCCCATGGGAGTCGTCCGGACCGGTCCGACCGGCACCTGGCGACGTCTTTACGCGTCGCCCCCCTCCTCCCCCCCTCCTCCCCCCCCCCTCCCCCCGCCCAGGCGGCGAGCGACACGAAGGGGTCGGCCGCGAGGCTTCGAGTGAGAGGCGCTCCCCCCACGAGGGTTCCCGTGACGATGATTCGGCGGCGGCGGCGAGCGGTCGTCGCTGTTTGTTTTTCTCCCCTTCACGGCGCTCCTCGCCCCGCGGTTTCATCGCGGGAAGGGGAAGGGAGGGGTGGAGAGGAGGGAGTGGAGGGATGGAGAGGGAGGGAGTGGAGGGGGGGGAGTAGGGGGGAGTGGAGGGGGGGGAGTGGAGGAATGGAGTGGGGGGGAGTGGAGGGGAGGGAGTGGAGGGGGTGGAGTGGGGGGGAGTGGAGGGGGGGAGTGGAGGGGTGGAGTGGGGGGGGGAGTGGGATGGAGTGGGGGGGAGTGGAGGGGGGGAGTGGAGGGGTGGAGTGGGGGGGGGAGTGGGATGGAGTGGGGGGGAGTGGAGGGGAGGGAGTGGAGGGGTGGAGTGGGGGGGAGTGGAGGGGGGGAGTGGAGGGGTGGAGTGGGGGGGGAGTGGGATGGAGTGGGGGGAGTGGAGGAAGTGAAAGGGTGAAGGAGCGAAGGCTGGAGGGGGGGGGGGAGTAAACGCGAGTCGCGGCGCTGTGCCGGTCCGAAGCGGCAGGAGGTGGGGGGGGGGCACGTGGGGGGGGAGGGGGGGGCACGTGGGAGGGGGGGGGCACGTGGGGGGGGGGGGGGAGCGGCACCTGTCCCAGGACGTGCGTGCGTCGTAGCGAGTCGCGGTGGCACACGCGCACCGCCACGGAGACGCCCAGGAACTTGTTCTCGCGGTTGGTGGCCGGGAACGAGAGCGTCTCCACCCAGCTGGCGTCGCCCTTGGAGGCGCGCGCCACGCGCGTGCGCCGCCGCTCCGTGCGCTCCGCCGACACCCACATGTCGGCCTTCACGAAGGCGTCTGCACGGAGACACGGGGGGGGGGGGTGTGGAGAAGGGGGGGGGTAACAATGGGAGACAATAATTGGTTCTTTACCCTTCTATCTGGCAACAAAACTGACACCTTTTTGCAAGGAGTCATGTTTGCATAGACCGCAATACCTGCAGTCATAATACAAACAAAAGAACATAACTCTGATAACGTGCACTGTCCTTGAAGTTGATTGGTCCACACCCGAGACAGCTTTCCTTAGTCTCATATGGGTTGGACCAGATGACGCCAAAAGGGAGACAACACGCACACGCCCGGTCAGTAGGGTTGACCCCGTCAGTAGGGTTGACCCCGTCAGTAGGGTTGACCCTGTCAGAAGGGTTGACCCCGTCAGTAGAGTTGACCCCGTCAGTAGGGTTCACCCTGTAATGGGAGACTGCTTGTACACTCAGCTTGGGCTGCAAAGAAGAGGAGGCCAGGCACAGTCCTGGATTGTGTCTCCCCCCAAGCCACCGCGCACTGGCGGCGGGGGGGGGGGGGCACCGACTCCCCGGCGTCTGTCCACAAGCAGCGGCAGCAGCAGCAGTAGCAGCAGCAGCAGATAGCAGCAGCAGGCAGCAGCAGCAGGAGCAGCAGCAGCAGCAGGAGCAGCAGCAGGAGCAGCAGCAGCAGGAGCAGCAGCAGCAGCAGGAGCAGCAGCAGGCAGCAGCAGCTGGAGCAGCAGCAGCAGCAGCAGGAGCAGCAGCAGCAGGAGCAGCAGCAGGAGCAGCAGCAGGCAGCAGCAGCAGGAGCAGCAGCAGCAGCAGGAGCAGCAGCAGGAGCAGCAGCAGCAGGAGCAGCAGCAGCAGCGACAGCAGCAGCAGGCAGCAGCAGCAGGAGCAGCAGCAGCAGCAGCAGCAGGAGCAGCAGCAGCAGGAACAGCAGCAGCAGGAGCAGCAGCAGGAGCAGCAGGCAGCAGCAGCAGGCAGCAGCAGCAGGCAGCGGCAGGAGCAGCAGGCAGCGGCAGGAGCAGCGGCAGCAGCAGGAGCAGTAGCAGCAGGCAGCAGGAGCAGCAGCGGCAGCAGGAGCAGCAGCAGCAGAGCAGCAGGCAGCAGCAGCAGGCAGCAGCAGCAGGCAGCAGCAGGCAGCGGCAGGAGCAGCAGCAGCGGCAGCAGCAGGCAGCAGCAGGCAGCGGCAGGAGCAGCAGCAGCAGCGGCAGCAGGCAGCAGCAGCAGCAGGAGCAGCAGCAGCAGCGGCAGCAGGCAGCAGCAGCAGGCGGACGCTGCATCTCGGGGTCGCCCAAACTGCACCCCCCCCCCAACTCCCCGACTGGAGACACGAGTGACACTTCGGGGGTCCAACTGGAGCCCCCCCCCCCCCCCCCGAACATCGCCACACAAAACGCAGCTCTCACCTGAGACACTGACAGCGGCAAGTCGGGGGGAGGTGAGGGGAGGAGGGGGGAAGACGGTGGGGGGGGGGGGAAGAGGTGCCTTGTCGAGACGAAGAGGCAGATCAAGAAGGGAGCTCTCACAATCATCCATCGCCGCGGGGTTTGACCTCCGCGGGGAGCGGTGGCTGAGTGACGCGCTCTCTCTCTCTCTCTGTGCCTTTCTGTGCCTCTCTCTGTGCCTCTCTGTGCCTCTCTCTGTGTCTCTATGTCTCTCTCTGTGGCTCTCTCTGTGTCTCTCTCTGTGACTCTCTCTGTGTCTCTTTCTGTGTCTCTATCTCTGAATTGACGGCGTCTCCGTTTACAATGGCAGGTACTGCCCTCGGTAACAAAAAGCCTGTGGACGCTACAAATACGATATTGAACTTCAAAAGGCATAGATGGTGTGTGTATGGATTGATTACGATCACGGTGGTGATGATTGCGTGTGCGTGCGTGTGTGTGTGTGCGTGTGTGCGTGTGTGTTTGCGTGTGTGTGTGTGTGTGCGTGTGGTGTGCGCGTGTGCGTGCGTGTGTGCGTGGGCGTGTGGGCGTGTGTGCGCGTGTGCGTGCGTGTGTGTGTGTGCGTGTGTGCGTGTGTTTGTGTGGGCGTGTGTTTGTGTGGGCGTGTGTTTGTGTGTGTGCGTGAGTGGAGCACTCACTGGCTGGGTGGGCTCCAGTGGATCTCTTCAGCTTGCGCGCCTCGATGACCTGGATGGTGATGGCCATGGTGGACAGCTTGAGGGACGTGGCCACGAACAGCTGCCCTCGCTCGTACTGCCCGTGACACGCACAGGGAACACGTGGAATAGGACACGACACACACAGGACGTGCGGACAAAACACGCGGGACACGTGCAGATACACGCGGGACGCAGAGCGGTCCCCGCCCCCCCCCCCCCCCGCCGCTCACCTGTCCCAGCTCCTGCTCGCTCAGCGGGAGCCACAGGTCCTGCTCCTGCGGGCCGGCCTGTTCGAGCGCGAGCGTCGTCCCGCCCAGCATGGCGCGGTGCGGCCAGCGGCTGAGCACGGAGAGCTGCAGGTTGGCCGTCGCCATCGCGGGCTCCGCCACCACGAAGACGAACGTCTCGTTGAACTCGGGCGCCTGCGGGGCGACAACCACGCTGAGCCCCGTTCCGTCCGCACAATCCTCGTCGGCAAATCTGGAGCTCGCCTCATGGGCGCCGGAGATGTGAACTCCCTCGCTACGAATTCAATCCCGACCTTGACGCCTGCTGCTGCTGTATATTTGGAGTTTGCGCGTCTCTCTCTCTCCCCGTGGTCGCGTGCAAATGTTTCTCCGGGTCCCTCTTGGTTTTTCTCTCCACGTTTAGAATCAACGTCTCGCGAGTTCGAGCATTTGGCTGCTGCTGCTGCTGCTGCTATATACATTTGCACACACCACGACCCACGACCACCACGACCACCACGACCATCACAACGACCACAACCACGACGACGACGACGAGCTGCTTCGTGTCGCCACTCACGCAGGTGTGCCGCTGCGTCGTGGTCTTGAGCGGCCACGTCTTGTCGGCGTTGAGGACGCCCTTCACGTACGCACTCGGCCCGTCTCCCGACCTCGTCTGCGCCTCCAGGTCCACGGCCTGGCGGCAAAATTAAAAAGCGGCGGAGGCGACGCCGTCGTTACCACCACCACCACCGTACACTGCCACCACTACACAACGCCACCACCACAACCCAACGCCACCACCACTACCACCACACACTGCCACCGCTACCCAACGCCACCACCACCACCACCACCACACACTGCCACCACTACACAACGCCACCACCACCACCACCACACACTGCCACCCCTACCCAACGTCACCACCACCACCACACACTGCCACCACTACACAACGCCACCACCACCACACACTGCCACCGCTACCCAACGTCACCACCACCACACACTGCCACCACTACACAACGCCACCACCACAACCCAACGCCACCACCACACACTGCCACCACTACGCAACGCCACCGCCACCACTACGCAACGCCACCACCACCACACATTGCCATGCCACCTATCACCGCCACCACTGCCCCATGCCGCTACCGCCACCACTACCACCACGCATTTCCACATCACCCATCACTGCCACCGATCGCCACCAACCATTGCCACCACCACCACCGCCACCCATTACCACGCCTCCCACAGCGACGCCGCCCACGTGCATGAGCAGCTGTTGTCGTCAACACACATCGCAACATTCCTGCGCGCGATCACAGCTGGGATTTCTCCAACGTGAGCGACCAATCGCAAGCGAGCGAGAGATCTCCCCCCGCGGTCATCGGCCACCGTGAGTCGCGGAGCCACGAGGTGGCCTCACCTTGACGATGGTGACCCAGAGCTGCTGCATGCTCGGCTCGTAGCGGATGCGCACATTGAGATGGCCTCCTTCGGTTTCATCCAAGGATGGGCTGTCTGCACACACACACACACAATGATCCTCCATGTACACACACATCGTGTACACACACACAGTGTACACACACACAGTGTACACACACCCCGTGTACACACACACACACCGTGTACACACACACCGTGTACACACACACCGTGTACACACACACAGTGTACACACACCCCCATGCACACACGCACACACCGTGTACACACACACACCGTGTACACACACACACACCGTGTACACACACAGTGTACACACACACACACAGCGTGTACACACACACACACCGTGTACACACACACAATGTACACACACACAGTGTACACACACCCCGTGTACACACACACACACCGTGTACACACACACACCGTGTACACACACTCACCCCGTGTGCACACACACCGTGTACACACACACCGTGTACACACACACACACCGACTCGGTGTGCTCACCTGAGTTGCTGCAGTGGTCGCTGCAGACCGAGATGCTGCTCGGGATGCTGGAGAGAGACGAGTAAACCTGGCGGGGAGAGGCACGCGGGGAGAGGCACGCAGGGGGTCAGGGCCGGGTAGAGGTGCCCCACGTGGGCAGTGCTCACCCCCCCGCCCCTCGCCCCCTCCCCTCACCCCCAACACTCACCCCCTGCACTCGCCCCCGCCCCTCGCCCCTCACCCCCAACACTCACCGAGCTGCCCCCAGGCATCACGTGGTGCGCCCCAGCGGCGTTGCTCACCTCCGAGTCCACGTGGCCGTGCAGGCGGCCGAGGCTGGCGCTCCGCAGGTCCCACTCTGCCAAAAGGCGGCACGCGGCACAGGTGAGTGACGTCACAGCGCAGGTGAGCGAGCGTCAACGCAGGTGAGTGACGTCACAGCACAGGGGAGTGACGTCACGACGCAGGTGAGTGAGCATCGCAACGCAGGTGAGTGACGTCACAACGCAGGTGAGTGACGTTACAACACAGGTGAGTGACGTCACGACGCAGGTGAGTGAGCATCGCGACGCAGGTGAGTGACGTCACAACGCAGGTGAGTGACGTCACAATGCAGTGAGTGACGTCATGAGAGGCACTTATCCGACCGCGTTCAATGCACCCTGTGTACCGCGTGACGTATTCTCGTGAATGTAGCATTAGGAGCTGCGTAATAGAGCGACCGTTCATGCAGCGCCTTCAACGTGCACGGCGCACCGCGTGACACCTTGCAGACGTCGCTACGGTCGTGGTTCCTACACGCCACGGTGGCTAGGAGATGTTGATTACCTCGCCTGGTATGCAGGAGGTTGTGGGTTCAATCCCGACCCTGACGCCTGCTGCTGCTGTATATTTGGAGTTTGCGTGTCTCTCTCATCATCATCATCACGGTGGCTAGGAGATGTTAACTACCTCGCCTGGTGTACAGGAGGCCGTGGGTTGGATCCCGACCCTGACGATGTCTCTATATTTGGAGTTTCCGTGTAACCTCCCTCTCTCTCTCTCCCCGTGATCGTGTGGATTTCCCTCCGCATCCTGCGGGTTTCCCCTCCACGTTTAAAATCGACGTGTGTTTCCCGCTAGAAATGTCCACACGGTGGTGATGATGATGATGATGAGCCACTTTTGTTGAGCTATCATTTGTGGCGGCCAGGTCGCTCCTGAAAAAGAGCTTACACAGCTCAGTGGGCGCTGGCTGGGAAGTAAAACAGTAAAAATAGCTTGAGTTTATAGTTAAGTTTCAGTAGTGTGCATACCGACGCACACGCCCCACTTTAACCGCGGAAAAACATCGCGAGCGGGTCGGTGGGGGGGGGCACTCAGCTGTGGTTGTCTCGATGCCAAGGGCATCCATGACTGGGTTTGTCCGGGTTCGTCCGGCCAGTCCAGAAATTATTTCCGCACCCCGGCACACCACATCCAGTATCCGCCTGTCACTACGAGTGCCCCTGTTAGCTGCCGTCACCTTCGTTAGGCAGCGAGGTGCTTCGAGGGAGGAATGCAGCCCTCAAGTTGTAAACAGATGCACGGGCAAGCATAAAGACCCATCGACTCACACAGAGACCCAGAGACCCATCGACTTACACAGAGACTCACATAGAGCCCCATCGACTTACACAGAGCCCCATCGACTCATAGACTTACACAGAGACCCAGAGACTCACACAGAGACCCATAGACTTACACAGAGACCCATCGACTTAAACAGAAACCCAGAGACTCACACAGAGACCCAGAGACTCACACAGAGACCCAGAGACTCACACAGAGACCCATAGACTTACACAGAGACCCATCGACTTAAACAGAGACCCAGAGACTCATAGACTTACACAGAGACCCATAGACTTACACGAAGACCCATAGACTCACACAGAGACCCATAGACTCACACAGAGACCCATAGACTCACACAGAGACCCATAGACTCACACGGAGACCCATAGACTTACACAGAGACCCATAGATTTACACGGAGACCCATAGCCTTACATAGACACCCAGATACTCAATACAGAGAGCCATAGAATCGCGTACAGCCCCACAGACTTACACAGATACTCACATAGAGACCCAATGACTCACATAGAGACCCATCGACTCACAAAGAGGGCCACATACTTACATCCAGATTCCTAAACTAGCATAGAGACCCAATGACTTGCATAGATTATCATAAACGAGACACATGGATTTTTCACGGGCCATAATTTCATTCGGCGGCCTTTGGGTCAGCGACCCGGAAAATATGTCCACAGCCCGGCACACCACGTCCAGCATGCGCCTCTTCCACGCCAGGCTGCGGCCACTGACGGCGAGGGGGCTCCCGCGTGCCACCTTCGGCAGTCGCCGAGCGGCGGGCGACCCGGAAAACAACAACAACAACCAACAACAACAACAACCAACAACAACAACAACAGGAGTCGCGCGGTGCGCGCCGTGCGTCGCACCCACTCACCGGAGCCGTAGAGCGTGAAGGGGCTGGCGGAGCGCGACGAGTCGAGCGTGTGGGCGCGCGTCACCGGCACGTGTCCCCCGTTGGGCACTGGCTCGGGGTAGTGGCGCGGGGGGGCGGCGGCGGCGTCGGCGGAGCCGGCGAGCGAGCGCCGTTCGGGGGAGCCGGCGGCGCTTCGCTCGCCGGCGCTGAGCGTCGACTTCCTCTGCGTGAAGAGTTCCCTCGAGAAGGCTGCAGCACGCACCGGCGGGCGGGGCAGGGTGTCACGCACACAAGGTCAAAGGTCACCCCAGTGGCCTCTGACGGATCGTCGGGGGCAAGTGCTGTTTGCGATGAAGGCCGCCACGGCGCGGGAGGGTGGGTGGGTGGGTGGCCAGCACCACGCCCGCCCGGCCGCCCGGCCGCCTTTGTCTCCCCGGCGCTGATGTTTTACACACCCGCGCCAGGTACTCATTTAAGGCTGAGAGTGACCTAGGGGTGGAGTCCGCAGGGCCGGTTCAAATATTCCCCACTGTTATTGGTCGTGAGAGGCAACTGAACTGGGTTCGCCGTGCGTTAACCACTGCACCACCACTCACCACGCACGTGCACGGGCACGGGGGGCAGCATTACAGGTGCGTGGATGGGAGAGCACGCGCAGGCCTGAAGGGTTGATGGACGGGAGTTCAAACTCAACAATTGAAACTCTGTAAACTCTGTAACTCACGTTAACCCCGTTTCTCTGGCAGCAGGTGCAATGCCCCACTGAGCTATGTCGCTCTTTTTCAGAAGCGACCAGGCTATCACAAACGATAGCTCAATGAAGTGGATGCTTATCATCATCATCATCATCACGGGGAAATGTAGAGCAGTCAAATACTCGAAACGCGTGATGTTGATTCTCAACGCGGAGGGAAAACCCACAGGGCCCAGGACAAAAACACACGCGGACACGGGGAGAGAGAGAGAAACAGCAGGCGTCAGGGTCGGGATAGAAGCCACAACCTCCTGTACACCCGGCGAGGGAGTTGCTAATGTGAGTGGCAGCACACAGAGGGGACGTCGAGCACGGAGACGGAGCGATCAAATCCGTCTCGCTGTAGCACGCGAGACAGGGTTGACCGCTCCGTCGCCGCATCACAAGGCGTGGGAGGTGGCGACGGCGCGCGAAAGAGGCCCTCATCCAGCAGTGGATCGACACGAGGGCTGCACGTGTAGGGCACGTGGTTATCATGGTGATGATGACATGTAAAACACGTGGTTATCACGATGATGACGTGTAGGACACGTGGTTATCACGATGATGATGACGTGTAGGACACGTGGTTATCACGGTGATGACGTGTAGGACACGTGGTTATCACGATGATGATGACGTGTAAAACACGTGGTTATCACGGTGATGATGACGTGTAAAACACGTGGTTATCACGATGATGACGTGTAGGACACGTGGTTATCACGATGATGATGACGTGTAAAACACGTGGTTATCATGGTGATGATGACGTGTAAAACACGTGGTTATCATGGTGATGATGACGTGTAAAACACGTGGTTATCATGATCATCCTCCACATCATCATCATCCTCCTCCACATCATCCTCCTCCACATCATCCTCCTCCACATCATCCTCCTCCACATCATCATCCTCCTCCACATCATCATTCTCCACATCATCATCATCCTCTCCATCATCATCATCCACATCATAATCATCCACCACATCATCCTCCTCCGCATCATCATCCTCATCATCATCATCCTCCTCCACATCATCATCCTCCACATCATCATCATCCACATCCTCATCATCCTCCTCCACATCGTCGTCGTCAATGGCAGGCGTCCCCCACCTTTGCTCGCTTCGTCCGCGCCGCCCGCGGTCTCCAGGGCCTTGGGCTGCACGAGGCTGGGCATCAGCCGGGGCAGCGCGAAGCGCACGGGCTGCCCCCCCGTGGGCAGCTTGCGCAGGAGGTAGTCCTCCCCCGGGGTGGACGACACGGACGAGCACTCCGTGGGCCCGCCGGCGGAGAGCGGCGACCGCTCGGCCGAGCCGAGGCCGCAGACTTCGCTGCACTTGCGGCAGAAGCGGCGCAGCGACCCCAACGTGGCCGAGACGTGGGCCCACAACCACTCTGGGGAGCGGGGCGGGGGGGACACGTTGGAGGGGGGGGGGGGTGGGGGTGCACGTTGGGGGGGGGTGCACGTTGGGGGGGGGGGGTGCACGTTGGGGGGGGGTGCACGTTGGGGGTGGGGGTGCACGTTGAAGGTGGGGGTACACGTTGGGGGTGGGGGTACACGTTGGAGGGGGGGGGTGCACGTTGGGGGGGGGGTGCACGTTGGGGGTGGGGGTACACGTTGGAGGGGGGGGGGTGCACGTTGGAGGGGGGGGGGTCCGGGGTGCACGTTGGGGTGGGGGTGCACGTTGGGGTGGGGGTACACGTTGGGGGGGGGGGGTGCACGTTGGGGTGGGGGTGCACGTTGGGGGGGGGTGCACGTTGGGGGGGAGGGTGCACGTTGGAGGGGGGGGTGCACGTTGGGGGGGGGTGCACGTTGGGGGTGGGGGTACACGTTGGAGGGGGGGGGGTGCACGTTGGAGGGGGGGGGGTGCACGTTGGGGTGGGGGTGCACGTTGGAGGGGGGGGGGTGCACGTTGGAGGGGGGGGTGCACGTTGGGGTGGGGGTGCACGTTGGGGTGGGGGTGCACGTTGGGGGGGGGGGTGCACGTTGGGGTGGGGGTGCACGTTGGAGGGGGGGGTGCACGTTGGGGGGGAGGGTGCACGTTGGAGGGGGGGGTGCACGTTGGAGGGGGGGGTGCACGTTGGAGGGGGGGGTGCACGTTGGAGGGGGGGGTGCACGTTGGAGGGGGGGGGTGCACGTTGGAGGGGGGGGTGCACGTTGGGGTGGGGGTGCACGTTGGGGGGGGTGCACGTTGGGGGGGGTGCACGTTGGAGGGGGGGGTGCACGTTGGGGGGGGTGCACGTTGGGGGGGGGGGTGCACGTTAGGGGGGGGTGCACGTTGAGGGGGTGGGGGGTCAGAGTGGGTGGTGGCGATTGGAATGTCGTGAGATAGGGGGACGGGAGCGAGATGGGGAGACGGGGGGAGGGAGACGAGGGGGGGGGAGACGGGGGGGAGGGAGACGAGGGGGGGGAGACGAGGGGGGAGACGAGGGGGGAGACGGGGGGGGGAGACGAGGGGGGGGGAGACGAGGGGGGGGAGACGAGGGGGGGGAGACGAGGGGGGGGGAGACGAGGGGGGGGAGACGGGGGGGAGGGAGACGAGGGGGAGGGAGACGAGGGGGGGGAGACGGGGGGGGGGAGACGAGGGGGAGGGAGACGAGGGGGGGGAGACGGGGGGGAGGGAGACGAGGGGGGGGGGAGACGAGGGGGGGGGGGAGACGGGGGGGAGGGAGACGAGGGGGGGGGGGGGAGACGGGGGGAGCGAGATGGGGGGACGGGGGGAGGGAGACGAGGGTGGGGAGGGGGGAGACGAGGGGGGGGGAGCCCCACGTCGCTCACTCACCCATGGCGCCACCGCCGCCTCTCGTCTCGACTGGGGGGATCTCACGCGGGGAGCCGCGGCGACTCGCGAGCCACTGAGGAGAGCCGCGACTCTCGCATTGCAGCCCCACGACGCGGTGGGCCGGCTCAGCGGGGTGGCGAGGAGACCCCGGCGGTAGCAGCCCTAAGCGCGCCCGGGTGGTGGTGGTGGTGGTGAGTGGTGGTGGTGAGTGGTTGTGGTGGGTGGTGGTGTGGTGGTGGTGAGTGGTGGTGGTGGGTGGTGGTTGTTGTGGTGGGTGGTGGTTGTGGTGGGTGGTGGTTGTGGTGGGTGGTGGTGGTTCTCTCTTCCCTCTCTCACCTGGCCGCGTCAACCCCGCGAATGTGCTCACCTGGGCGCACCGCAGCGCGTCAGGCGCAGTCTCCACCCCCCACTCCCCACCCCCCCCCACACACCCCCCACTCCCCACCCCCCCCACTTCCACCCCCCCACACACCCCCCACTCCCCACCCCCCCCCACTCCCCCAGTCACCCTGCCCCTCGCCCCCAGCCCAACCCCGCCGAGCCTTGTCAGCTTTCAGTTTTGCCACCAGCCCGAGACGTCTCCCTCGTCCCCACGGAGACTTGGGGTGGCGCGCGCCACGGAAGTCGTCGGCAGGCCGATTCCACGCAGCACCACCACCAACATCACCACCACCAACATCACCATCACCAACATCACCACCACCAACATCACCATCACCACCAACATCACCACCACCAACATCACCACCAACACCACCATCACCACCACCAACATCATCACCACCACCAACATCATCATCATCACCACCAACATCACCACCACCAACATCACCACCACCAACATCACCACCACCACCAACATCATCACCACCAACATCACCACCACCACAAACATCACCACTAACATGACCACCACCATCACCACCACCATCACCACCAACATCACCATCACCACCAACATCACCACCACCAACATCACCATCACCACCAACATCACCATCACCACCAACATCACCACCACCAACATCACCATCACCACCAACATCACCACCACCAACATCACCATCACCACCAACACCACCACCACCAACATCATCATCACCACCAACATCACCACCACCAACATCACCATCACCACCAACATCACCACCACCAACATCACCACCACCAACATCACCATCACCACCACCATCACCACCACCACCAACATCACCATCACCAACATCACCACCAACACCAACACCACCACTAACATGACCACCACCATCACCACCACCATCACCACCACCATCACCACCAACATCGCCTCCATCACCACCAACATCGTCTCCACGTGTGGAACGTTACAGCCACGGCGGCTGTGGCACATGCCAAAGCAACACGGATGGATCGTGTAGACGCAGGCAGGAGTCACACTCATGGGGATACAGACTCAGAGAGACACGGAGACTCAGAGAGACACGGAGACTCAGAGAGACACGCAGACTCAAAGAGACACGGAGACTCAGAGAGACACGCAGACTCAGAGAGACACGGAGACTCAAAGTGACACGGAGACTCAGAGAGACACGCAGACTCAGAGAGACACGGAGACTCAGAGAGACACGCAGACTCAAAGAGACACGGAGACTCAGAGAGACACGGAGACTTATAGACACGCAGAGACAAACTCAGAGAGACACGGAGACTCAGAAAGTAAAGACACAAGCCACAGCAGTGAGGATGTGGCCATACAACCCACACTGCGGACCCCACAGTGAACCCACTGGGGTCTGCGCTCCTTCGACAGTGGAGGAGGTGGAGGAGGAGGTGGAAGAGCGACACGACACTAACTCTCTCTCTTTCTCACTGCTGAAGCCGTCTCGTCGTGGCGAGCAGCAGCAGCAGCAGGAGATCTCCACATTGGTGTCTGTCTCGCGATCCCATTGCTGCCATACGCAGGGGTAAACTGAGGCGGACGCTCATCTCCCGCTTACAGCACCGAGGCAGTGGTGGACATTCCACATTCCTATGGCGGTGGCAAGTCTCCTCTGTCGGACATTTGTCGCCCGCGTCAACATCCCCAATGCGCACGAGCGCGCTTTAACAATCGAGCTCCTCTTGTCTTAAGTCGCCATCAAAATACAAACACTCAGCCGTTGGCTGATAACATCTTCATAGATATTGGACTGCTGAGCTGGGAGTGGACAGGGTGCGGGGAGTGGAATTTGACGCCAGATCCTCACCGCGTGGCTGCTGCTGCTGCCTTCACACTCCTCGTCTGTGCTTCCACCTCCTGGTGCCTCTGAGTCGTCCTCTCTCTGAGTCGTCCTCTCTCTATCTGAGTCGTCCTCTCTCTCTCTCTCTGAGTCGTCCTCTCTCTCTGAGTCGTCCTCTCTCCCTCTCTATGAGTCGGCCACGCGATGGCGAGGATTCGGCGCGCCCAACAATTTCCCGAGCTCTGCGGTGCCTCTGTATATGAAGGTGGTATGGGCCAATTCACGAGTGTTTACATGCGGGAGGGGACACGCAGTGGACGGCAGAAACCACCACGCGCGCGAGGGGGAAACACTCGATCCCAGGGGGTCGGCGACCTGCGGGTTTCGCGAGCCGCGTCCACGTGGTGGCTCTCCAGCGGCTGTCCGGGGACGTGGCGTGTCCCCCACAGTGCATTGCGGCTCTGCTAATATCGAGTTGATTAGAGAATCCCCCCCAATACGTGCCTCCTCTTGTTACGTCAGTTTAACGCGGAGGATGCTTTCGCGACCAATAGCATCCACAATACAAGGGGGGGGGGGGGTGTTGTTGGGTTAGATCGCTTAAGAATGTAAATGTGTCGTTAAACCCGCCACCACCCGACACGGCCAACGAGTAAAGGTTGTGCCACGTCGACAGAACGCGGCCAGTTTTCGTCACGAGTACAGCACAGTGAGCACACGCAGCCTGCTGAGTGTCGGAGGGCGAATCCATGCCGATGTAGTGGATTGTAAACGTTGCGGCTTGGCTCTGCTACACACAACCGGCTGGTGCCGTACTCGTGACGAATTGGCCACGTTCTGTCGATTTGACGCAACCTTTACGAGTTGGCCGTGTCGGGTGGTGGCGGGTTTAACGACACAACATGAATATTTACGCGATGTAACCCAACAACAAGAACCTCTGTTATCATGAATGACGGTCTCGCTGTGTGGGTTGTGGACCGCTGCACTCGCCCCTGAATGTCGCGCGGCTGTGGCGCCATCTGCCGGCGAGACGGGGAACGGCGCCTACTCCGCGCCCCCAGGGAGAAGCGCATCGCGCCATCTGAGTGTGACCCACCACCCCTCTGAGCGTGACCCACCACCCCTCTGAGTGTGACCCACCACCCCTCTGAGTGTGACCCACCACCCCTCTGAGTGTGACCCACCACCCCTCTGAGCGTGACCCACCACCCCTCTGTGTGTGGCCCACCACCCCTCTGAGTGTGACCCACCACCCCTCTGAGCGTGACCCACCACCCCTCTGAGTGTGACTCACCACCCCTCTGTGTGTGACCCACCACCCCTCTGTGTGTGGCCCACCACCCCTCTGTGTGTGACCCACCACCCCTCTGTGTGTGACCCACCACGCCTCTGTGTGTGACCCACCACCCGTCTGTGTGTGGCCCACCACCCCTCTGTGTGTGACCCACCACCCCTCTGTGTGTGACCCACCACCTCTGTGTGGACCACCACCCCTCTGTGTGTGACCCACCACCCCTCTGAGTGTGGCCCACCACCCCTCTGAGTGTGACCCACCACCCCTCTGTGTGTGACCCACCACCCCTCTGAGTGTGGCCCACCACCCCTCTGTGTGTGACCCACCACGCCTCTGTGTGTGACCCACCACCCCTCTGTGTGTGACCCACCATGCCTCTGTGTGTGACCCACCACCCGTCTGTGTGTGGCCCACCAACCCTCTGTGTGTGACTCACCACCCCTCTGAGTGTGGCCCACCACGCCTCTGTGTGTGACCCACCACCCCTCTGTGTGTGACTCACCACCCCTCTGTGTGTGACCCACCACGCCTCTGTGTGTGACCCACCACCCCTCTGTGTGTGGCCCACCACCCCTCTGAGTGTGGCCCACCACCCCTCTGAGTGTGGCCCACCACCCCTCTGTGTGTGACTCACCACTCCTCTGAGTGTGACTCACCACCCCTCTGTGTGTGACTCACCACCCCTCTGAGTGTGACTCACCACCCCTCTGTGTGTGACCCACCACCCCTCTGTGTGTGACCCACCACCCCTCTGTGTGTGACCCACCACCCCTCTGAGTGTGGCCCACCACCCCTCTGTGTGTGACCCACCACCCCTCTGTGTGTGACCCACCACCCCTCTGAGTGTGGCCCACCAATCCCTCTGAGTGTGACTCACCACCCCTCTGAGTGTGACCCACCACCCCTCTGAGTGTGACTCACCACCCCTCTGTGTGTGACCCACCACCCCTCTGAGTGTGACTCACCACCCCTCTGTGTGTGACTCACCACCCCTCTGTGTGTGGCCCACCACTCCTCTGAGTGTGACTCACCACCCCTCTGAGTGTGACCCACCACCCCTCTGTGTATGGCCCACCACTCCTCTGAGTGTGACTCACCACCCCTCTGAGTGTGACCCACCACCCCTCTGTGTGTGACCCACCACCCCTCTGTGTGTGGCCCACCACTCCTCTGAGTGTGACCCACCACCCCTCTGTGTGTGACCCACCACCCCTCTGTGTGTGACTCACCACCCCTCTGTGTATGACCCACCACCCCTCTGTGTGTGACCCACCACCCCTCTGAGTGTGACTCACCACCCCTCTGAGTGTGACCCACCACCCCTCTGTGTCTGACCCACCACCCCTCTGAGTGTGACCCACCACCCCTCTGAGTGTGACCCACCACCCCTCTGTGTGTGACTCACCACCCTTCTGAGTGTGACCCACCACCCCTCTGTGTGTGACCCACCACTCCTCTGAGTGTGACTCACCACCCCTCTGAGTGTGACCCACCACCCCTCTGTGTGTGACCCACCACCCCTCTGTGTGTGGCCCACCACTCCTCTGAGTGTGACCCACCACCCCTCTGTGTGTGACCCACCACCCCTCTGAGTGTGGCCCACCACCCCTCTGTGTGTGACCCACCACCCCTCTGTGTGTGGCCCACCACCCCTCCGAGTGTGGCCCACCACCCCTCTGAGTGTGACTCACCACCCCTCTGAGTGTGACTCACCACCCCTCTGAGTGTGACCCACCACCCCTCTGAGTGTGGCCCACCACCCCTCTGTGTATGGCCCACCACTCCTCTGAGTGTGACTCACCACCCCTCTGAGTGTGACCCACCACCCCTCTGTGTGTG